GTTAAAAAGCTCCTTTAAATCAAAGCTAGTTCTCTGTGTCTTATAATAGAAGCTTCAGATCCTACAAGACGCCCGGATCAAGGAACAACTCTGCCTCAGACCACAAGTGAGGAAGACTCCAATCAGACCACTACAACTTCATCCATTACAGCAACTACAACCATCATTCTCCCTACAGCAGAACCAGAACTCACAAGTGCGGAAGACTCCAATCAGACCACTTCAACGTCAGAACCTACAACTTCATCCATTACAGGAACTACAACCATCATTCTCCCTACAGCAGAACCAGAACTCACAAGTGTGGAAGACTCCAATCAGCCCACTTCAACGTCAGAACCTACAACTTCATTCATTACAGGAACTACAACCATCATTCTCCCTACAGCAGAACCAGAACTCACAAGTGCGGAAGACTCCAATCAGACCACTTCAACGTCAGAACCTACAACTTCATCCATTACAGGAACTACAACCATCATTCTCCCTACAGCAGAACCAGAACTCACAACCGTCAACACGCAGGACTCAAAATCAGCCTTGGAAACCTCTCAGGCCACCACCTCTCCAACAGAAACCTCAGAGGCAACCACCTCTGATGCCAACACAGATTCCAACAAGGAAAACATCACAACAAGCCCACCATCTTTTCTGGCAGACGTTGAAGATCCATCCACCACCACCTCTCCAACAGGAGCAGAAGTTCCCACACCTACAGTTTCGATGCAAGATCAGACCAAAGATACTGTTGAACTAGAATTAACTACTCCCGATCCACTAAAAGTTACTTCCGAACCCACCTCCAAACCTCAGGACCAAACTGACTCATCCACATTAACACCCACCTCTAAACCCGAGATCAAGCCTGTGGATCCACAAATCCAGAACACAGATAACCCTGGAGACTATCAAGGCGGTAAGCCCTATTATTTTAAAATCATTACAGAATATCAAAGGCACGTTGCCCTAAAAATAAAATAYCTGTTTTCCTYGTGCTTTTCTCCAGATGACAACAATGATCCAAACCTGTGTAGTGGGCGGCCGGTCAGCGGAGTCACCACRCTGAGGAACGGAACCATGGTGGTGTTCAGAGGTTAGTATTAAAAACCTGAGAATATTCACCAAAAAACAAATGCAAAAACGGGTATTTCCCCCAATGAGATTTGGAAACGATACACTTCCCAACTGTAAAAAACATTACTTTTCTTTGTAACGTTAATAACTCTCTGACCTCTGTTCTCATGCTTATTTGTGTTATTTTGAAGGGCCTGTGACATCAAATTTKTGTGATAAACATGAATGCATTTTTGGAAARATAWTTATATATTGGAAAACAAATTTCACRCTGCTGAGATGAACAGTTGTTGAGATATTTGCATGTGAAGAAACAGGAAGTGATGTCAAAGGGGAATGTCTGAACAGAGCATTGTTACAACAGCTAATAAGACACTGTAGAGAAGAATCTGATGTTTCTAATCTATCAATGAATGATGAAGATAAATTTAAAGTTTAAATAATTTTGTTTTAATAAACAAAAACCAGAGTTTATTTTAATGAGTTCTCCTTTGATGTCACTTCCTGTTTCACTTTGGCTTAGCCAAATTCAAAAGAAAATATGCCAATTGTGCGACAAAATGGGTATAATAATCTGTACTATGCCAATTTTCTTAGGTATGAAGAGGTTTTCTTTGACTTTTTGTACTTGAAGGATAGGCATGTCACAGGCACTTTAAAGCAGTATGTTTATTTTTAATAAATTATTTGTTTGAGCATTTAAAATTACTCTGGAGGCTTTGGTTCAGGAAGTTAAGTCTTCAACCATTCTGCAGGTTGTGTCAAATTTGGATCTAGTTGAATGACAACACATTTTATTTCTAATTGTAACTGTTTGATTTAGGTAAATTTTATATACTRATCTAATTTTTCACAGGTCACTACTTCTGGTTTTTGGATAGGAACCACGTTCCAAGCCCACCCAGAGGTATCACTCAGGTGTGGGGCRTCCCTTCTCCTATCGACACCGTGTTCACCCGCTGCAACTGTCAGGGTAAAACATACATTTTCAAGGTAACGAGACTCAAACCCTAAATTAACCACTCCATGAGTTTTTTTTCCCCTCTGATGAAACCTTTTACATTTGTTTGCTGTGCATGTTTATAGGGAGGCAAATACTGGAGGTTTGACAATGATGCTCTGGATCCCGGCTACCCAAAGCTCATTAAAACTGGYTTTGATGGGCTGCGGGGTCACATCACCGCTGCCCTGTCAGTTCCTCAGCACCAGAGCCGGAAAGAGTCCGTCTACTTCTTCAAGAGAGGTGATGATGTGTCAAACCACCAGGAATTTATAAAACACAACTGCTGCTTTATTTATCTTTTTCTGTTCTGCTTTGGTTTGACTTTGTTTTTTAATGGTTTTGTAGGGGGATTTGTTCAGAAATATTCCTACCAGTTTGGTACCAGTCCAACATGTGGAGGCTCAGTCCGCTTTCCTGTTTACACCGTTCGTGCCCGACTTGTCCGACAAGCAGGTATGACAAAGCTAGAAATGAACATTTCAAGTGGCTTTGCATGAATCCTTTATAAAAGTGCTCTTAATTGGATAGTTTGTCTTTAAAGTTATGCTGAAGAGGTTTTTTTCTTCTTTAAAATGCTCAATTCATTAGTACTTTGATGTACATTTTTATGCTTAATTTTCAAGGTTTTTATGCAGCTTCATTTGTTCTCAAGTTCACCAATCTGATGTAGCCCTAATCTGGAGCTTTCACTCCATTTTGGTGGCAAATCACAGTATAATACACCAGTCAGGTTGTAGAGGTGTCTCAATGACCTCTGAGTTTAACAGGATACAACTCAACTTCCTCGTTCCAGTTTCTGTTTTAGAGCCAGAAATCAACATCCGGAGGTCCTGGAGAGGCTTCCCTCACACCATCACAGCTGCCGTGTCGATACCGAGCACCAGAGAGCCGGACGGGTACAAATATGTCGTCTTCTCAAGATGTAAGTCAAAACAATCCAGATATAACGACTTTTATTTTGTGCTGCTGCAAATAATTAAAACATTCTCATAAATTCAACAATACCTTCAGTTATTTGGTACTGAAAATTGTCCAAATTTCCAATATAAATGTTTTYYCCCCCAACAAAAGGATTTTAACTGCCATTTTAATGCCTGTATGTACCCAATTACTGCTGGCTGCATAATTATATCTGTAACAGTAGCAAAGAACTTCATTGTGGAGTTGTTTCACAGGCATTAGTGAACATGCCGTCACTATAAATTTGCAAATTACAACCAAAATGTAAACAGTAAAAATTTAAACATCGACACACTTTAATTTGGGCTGTCTACACTGAAATTTTGATAAAAACAAAACTTGAATTGAGGTGACATTTAAAGAGGTTTCCAGTAACAAATGTGGTTTTAATTTCATCTTATGTTTATGCCACAAAACTGACCTTTAAAAAAACAAAACGTACTTCACTGTCTGCAGTGAACATCATGTCTGGGATGTTTAATTCAGTCTGTTCAGGGTGGAGCACTTCACTGATGTAAAAAGACCATATGGAGCTGTTTCTACTCACTGTGTAGTAAAAAGTATCTTATTTTAAATTGTGCAAATAGTTCTGAGTAAAGCCACCAGTACACGTGTCTGGTCAAGATGTTTTCACCGTCTAGTCGTTTACATCACTGACAAAACATTACAGCTCTTAAAACTCAGACTGAAGCAGACGACAGTCATTAAACTGCATTTTCCACAAACTGTGCTGGAAAAAAAAACAAGATTGGTTTCTAGCAAATTTATTTTCATTAAATGGAAACTCAACTCCATGAAAAACATCCTAAATTACACGCTCTGCTGTTTGTCAAACCTGACGACTAAAACGTTTCATTTCTTTTGCAGCGACGTCCTACAACGTGAGAATGACTGGTGAACGTCCCGTCATCACGGTTCCTAAACCAAACACTTCGTCTCAGAGCAACACATTCTTCAAATGTCAAAAACCATAACTGAAAAGCAACTAATATTCTTAAACATTTTTTTCTTCTTCTTAAAAGAGAGCTTCAGCAGATTACAAAAAGAACTTTCTAAACACATTACAAAATAACAAGGGAAAACTGGGCTACAGAACAAGGGAAAATCACTTGAAAAATGTGTTTCTGATGCGTTTTGGTCAGGTTTGGTTGTGAAGTCATCAAATTAGTGCTTCATCTCATAAATCGTCTTCCTGGTACACCACGGGAAGGAAAGGCGTGACCTGTGGGGAGTAAAATATACACTCAGACATGTATGGCACTGAGGTAAAACTTTATATTAGCTGTATAAATGTATGTATAAAAAAAAAAAAACAATTGCGTTGTTAAATGTTCTGTGTTCTGTTATGATTTAACACAATCAAATAGCCTTTTGTGACTCTGTGTTTACATTTAAATAAGAATGTAATTTGTCAAAATTTGGCACTTTTTTTACTTTTGAATCATTTTCAATGTTTTTTTTTTTATGAAGAATGAGTTTTGACTGTAGCTGACAAAACATATGAATAAAAAAATACATTTATAATAAAATCTCATTRTTTCCTGTTGTTTGGAGAGCTGAGCATGAAAAACTAACTTCTGCAGTTTAATTTATTCTAGTTTGCTCTTGCAGTAAGAAGTCATCTAAAAGATTTTCCACAAACTTGTTTTGAACAGCAAAGAAAAAGTGTTTGCTTCTTTTTTAAACGTTACCTCCTCTTTTCATGCGTCCCCCGCGGTGGTCCGGCCAGCGCTGCAGCTGTCTGCTGGGTCCAGGTCGAGAGGGTTTGGGTTGGACGGTGCTGCTTGTATCTATTGAGACGCGACAYCGGCATCAGCGCGATCAAATCCAGCAGGAGAGAAGTTGTATTTACCATCTCCAAAGGCCAGAGCTTCGGGACTAAACRGTACCTGCAGAACTAGAAGGTGGCTCCTGGCTGGTGGAGGGAAGGCTGGCCTTGTCAGACAGTTGACTTGGCTCCTCTGAGTCTCCTTGTGACACCACAGGATCCAAAGATACTTCAGCACTGGGCCTGGAGCAAAGAAATGAACACAAATAATTACCAAATCTAATATTATGCAACAAACGTCAGAAAAAATAAAAGCCTTCAAAGCTTGGAAAAGGTTTCCAGTTGGTAGAATAAGATGTGATTCAGTGACTAACAGTGGAAATAAATAGTTAAACAGGACTTGAACATTAGTTTGCAGGAAATAATGTGGACATTTTGCCAGCTTAAAAGGTCAGAAGTCTGAAACCAATTCTCAGAAGAAAAGAAAAAAGCAGGAATAATCACCTGTCAGTGTCTGGTTCCAGGAAGATGTCCCTCTCCTCCACTGAACTGCCCGATCCTGGTACAAGTCCTGGTGTGGAYGTGCTCACCATAGGAACAGACTGGGAGGCGTGCTCCGATGTGTCGGACTGCGCAACCTCTGAGAAGATCGTTACTACAAGAAAATGTGGAAAAAAATAAAGATTTTTATAYAAACTGATGGAAAATCGAAACATTCCTATCCAGCTTCAGTAACTGTTGATTTAAAGGGTGGGAGGAAAGACAGATGGGCTTCGTAACAGACTGACAGAGACAGATACCTGGAGCAGAAACTTGTAGAGGAGTGGTGGGAACACTGCGTCCACCAGACTCCTCCTCGTGAGTTGCTAGGAACAGAGGACTTTCATACATCCCAAGACCTTAAAAAAAAAAGAAAAAGAAGAATTTAAGCTTGTTTTTCGAGGACTTTATCAAAGCCCTAAAGGCCAATTATTTTACTTCCCGATTCCCTCGTCTCTAAAACTTTAAAAAGCCATGTTCTAAATTTGTAAACAAGTGATGAATGACCTCCTTGGGAAGCGAGCTGACCCAGATCAGAATGTGAAGATGAGCTGGTCTGTGGCAGGTCTTCTGAGGGGCCGAACCTGAAGCGAGGCACACCTGCAACTTGGGGGGAACTAAAAAAAACAAACAAGATGAAGACAAAAACGAGTCATGTAACACTACAAGTCTGAATCACTAAAACCAAAAAATCCAGTTACAGGTTGTTTATTATTTTCACTCCTCCCCACACTGAGGAGCAGATAAGAGGGAGACTCAAAGAAACAAACAAGCAGGTAAATAAAAATTATCAACATCATTTTAATTTATCATGTCATTGATTTATTGCTCATTGCCACAGGCCTAGTCCTGAAAAAAATGTATTTCTTTGCACTTAATGTTTATATCAGCTTGTAAAAAGATGTTTTATTGGTCATGCTACACTACAATATCCAGTATAAAATACACAGATTAGATTTAACTTTTGTGTTTTATCAAACTGAAAACAATAAAATAAAGAATTTAAAAAGGCGTAAATGAGCATTTACAATTTTCCCGTTTTTGAAGCATTGATCAGGAATATAATAAACTTTTCTTTTTAAAACAATTTCTCCATACTTAGTTTTTTTTATACAAGTGTAAATCCTCGTGAGTCCAATTCAATTTCAAACTTTATTCATTCCATAAAAAACAAAATCCTATGAACAATAAAAAAACAAAATACAAATAAAATGAAATGAAAGGCAGCAGAGAGAAGAAAAAAAACTTATATCTGCCCCTTTTTTCACAAGTATAAATTCAAACAATAGTAAAATTCAGTTAAAACAAAACATTGAATCTTTCCGGAACAACAMATTGAATGGCTACATATTAAACCATTTCATATTTTTTACAATCTAGTCTTTATCATTCTCTTAAACATGTACAGTAATTTGGCATTTTTAACATCATCTTCCAAATTATTCCACAATCGGGCTCCTTGGACTGAGGTGCAGCGTTCTTTCAGACATGTTCTAAATTTAGGTTTCATGAACATCTCTATTTCTTTTAGATTATAACAGCTCTCTCTCTTCGCAAAGTTTTTCTGAATGTTTGAAGGTAATGTGTTTCGGTGTGCTTTATACGTAACAAAATATTATAATCAGCCAAATCATACAATTTCAATAATTTTAGTTTACAGAATAATATATTAGATGGATAATTAATGGTAGTTTTTTCGAGTAATAATTCTTATAGCTCTTTTCTGCAAAACAAAAACAGGATGTGTAATTGTCTTGCAAGCATTTCCTCCTACCTCAACACAATAGACCAAGTGTGGAACAATTAATGTGTTATATAACATATGCGGAGCTTTATCAATGAACAAATCCCTTACTTTATAAAGCAATGCAATAGATTTAGCTAGTTTTGTTCTTAAGTAATTAACATGAGGTTTCCATGTCAGTTTCTCATCAATAATAACACCCAAAAACTTCACCACACTAACTCTCTACACCAGTGGTTCCCAAACTTTTTATCTTCTGACCCACAAAATATCCATGGCAAAAACGTCTGACCCCAAATATTACTG